TATAGCTACCCTGGGTCTCTATACCTGGCAAGGTGCCAACTACACCTTTCCATTCAGATGATGCAAATGATGCATTTGGCATTTCTTGCATCACCACCCCTCAAAAATCACCTCCAACACAACCTCGAAAAACCTTCCCTCGAAGCACCCTCCTCCCCCAGCATGTGCCGAGTTTACGTGTACCTTTCCCGGGCCACCCCCCCAGACCCCCTAACTACTCACTTGCTTTCGTAATTGACACATTAAAATCGGGAGCGGGAGACCTTTCAGGCTACGATCAACTGGAAGAAGGGAAATAGACCAAAACACCCATTTTGTTGGGGGTCACCCTATTGAAAGACACATCCATATGTTGACACCTCATTTCAGTCCCACCACATCCCACCACCACACGTCCCATCCACCGCCTCCTTCGAACCAAAGAGGGCTCTTTGGGGTGCTTCTCACACGGCGGCGCCCGATAGCCAGCACCTCCCTCTGAGCGCCGTCGCGCCGCAAAATTGTAGCAAAAGGAAGGTCTCTGGTGGTTTCAGAGTGATTCGATTGCACAAATGTCTATAACAGTTGGTTAGTTTCATGCTGTGTTTGGTCTTTCAATTCTGGATCCCCATCTTTTCCAGATCTTGGGGGTCTTCTTGGTGCCCATCCAACCCCTCCACCCGCCGGGCGGCGCAGTTGATCATCTCCTGGGTGGAGAAGCGCCTCACGCGCTTCCGGTGGATCTCACTGTGCGCGTTGAGCACCGTAGTGGCACCTCGGGAGAAGGTGGTACTGGTATCAACATGATGTATACCTGGAGTCTGCGTAACCTCTGGTCAATATAGAGAGAGGGAGAGAGAGGATGTTCATGACTTTCAAGGGCATCACAAGGTATTGGACAGAATAAGAACTCGTTAGCTGTCCGCAGGTCCTTCGTCAAGGGTATAACCTGATTCGTGCTTTAGTAAGAAATCCCAAACACTCCATGGGACTGCCATATATGCCGCCCCATTGACCCCAGGTCAACCACCCAACTGATCGGCAGTCCTATGGCAGTCCCATTAGGAGTGTCGTGTCTGGGAATCTATTCTGAAATGGATTCTTCGGGTCCGGTTGAGTAGGCCAGTACAGACTTGCAAGCTTCAGAACGGCCGAAGATCTCCCGCGCTGCAACGGGCCTCCCATGTTCACCACAACGTGACTGTTAGAAGGCATCTTCCACACCAACTGTGACAGAACTAGTAGATGTTGCGGGACATCCCCGCATCGTCCGGAGCGAGGGCGCTCTCCCACCTGGAAGACCCAGACCATCAATGGGAATATGCTAGGACCCACGGTCGGGGTGGTTAATGGACACCCCGAATCACCTCTAAGGGGCTATCAATAGACACCCTTAGGGTGTCCTGGTGTATGTTTCTTTTGTACCGCATATATGTACCCCATGAAGACGACCTTGATTGTAAAGCGGTCATACCAATATACAGTTCTGAGTCACATGCATAGTCATTTTTCATATTCCATTCCCATTTATGGTGGTCTGGAACAGTGTCCGCTCTTCTTGGGGCCCCATTTCCCCAAAAGAAGCTTTGCTTCAGACAATCTCTTTTAAAGCGCACGTGGGAACATGTGAGAACTTGATAATTCATAATATAGCCCTAAGAGTCCTTGGGCTCTCCATGGCAGGGGTCGGACCCGACACCGCTGCAGGGGTCTGGACCTTCCCTTCTCACCTAACCCTGTGTGCTGGTTCAGGCCCGGATTCTTAGGGTCTTAAATGAGCGCTATCATTTTTGCTCCACCTTCTCCAACGCGAGAAGGGCAGGCTGATCCAAGGGCAGGGCCCACCGGAGCGTCCCGTGACTGCGATGGGGGTTTCCATTCAGAGTGTGGTCATGTTAAAACGTCTCGGTGTCCAAACATCTCGAGCAAAAACATGTACCAAAACCCTCAGGATCCAAGTACCTTCTCAGAAGGTTATTGGAGACACTGTTATGTAGGTTCGGAGGGTCCAAGTGCCTTCTGAGAAGGTACTTGGATCCCTAGGGAAATCACCTTCTCCATATACAGCTCCATCATTCTCAGACTATGGATGATGAACTTGATGAGGAACCACACCACACCGGTTCTGCCTTCGAAGAGCAACTGGAGGCGGATGGGGATGTATTCTGGACCCATCTTTAAAATCCCAAATCCATCACCCGAACCCTCACAGCCCATTCGACGCGGCGCTCACAGCCCAGCAGGAACCACAGGCGCCCTGATCCACAATCTCCTGGCGACCACCACGTCCAGTCGACTCCAGTTTTTTGCTGCAGGGAGAGGCTACGAAGGTCCGGTACGACTGGACCTGACGGTTCCTGGCAGCGTCCAAACGCACTGGTGCGTGAGAAGGTACGACTGGAATCCCTTAGGAAGGGGCCCGTAGAGGGTGTACCTGGACCCTCGAACCCCTCCAAAGAGGTCTCTAGAGGTGAGACCTGTTGAAGCTCAAGAAACCCTTCAACCCTCCGTTGGATGATTGCTTTGATGCGAAGCCTGGGAGAGGAACACACCTCTCCGGGGACGATCACCGGCGATCGCTGGGTCATGTGACTCCCTGAGCCGGTCGAGTCCGTCCGATCGCGGTCCGTCCATGAGGTGAAGGGAGTTGGGTGTCTCATCTCGGATCTTCCAACGACATGCCGTCTGCCCAGTCGTGGCTGGTGTTTCACAGATGAAAAGGCAGGTTATGTCTGTTTTCGTCGTTGGAAGATCCAAAGTATAGACGATTCCCAGACGTCGATGGGACGATCAGCACCCGGTGGGCGCCCCCCCCCCCCGGTGGACCTCCGGTGAAACACCAAAGCACCGGTGACCACGCGCTCGGTGACCAAGCGCCGCCGAAGCGACAAACCGGACCGGTCCGGGGACCGGTCATGGGACAGACCCAAACCAGGGCCCCTCCCAACAAGTGTCCAACATGATGACCCCTATTGGAGGTGTTCATGGGATTTCGGTGTCGACATTCACCACCCCCCTTAAGGGAAAAAGGAACAAGCACACATTCGATGTTTTTGGAGGAGGTCCCCAAGCCCTCAGCCACCGCCGCTAAGTGTTCCTTTTGGTCAGGCGAGACGTTGGGCAACTTCCGCCCTGACGCGCGGATTAGCAGGAGTTGGGGCCGTGACTAAGGCAGCTAATTGAATAAACATGGCAGCTCCCAGAAAGGGCGCAGGGAGGATGTCCTGAATAAACAGGTGTGGGGTTGCTATTGAATGTTCCGCACACCACTCAGGAAGATCACTATGTATACAATTTAATCCTCCACTTGTAGGAGCCGCGAGTGGAGATTGTCGGGTACGGTGCGATTGGTGAAGGAGAGGTGTCCAGTCTGCAGCGAATCCCTCACGAGCTGCAAGTGAAATCTCGTTCTCAAGCGTCTCAGGGGAGAAAGAAGGATGGCCGCAGCGTCAGTGAAGGGAGATGCGCCCAGCAAGCGACATAGACATACAAATGAGACACACCACAACTGAACAATGCAAATACACCAAGGAGAACCATAGATGGCAAGCCAGATCCCATCTCCAATGGCGATGAAGATTGCAAGTGCTCCCAAGCGTGACCACATGTTCACTTGCACAAACAGCTGCTCCTCACCTGCAGCACGCATGCTACGCAACAACATGGGAAAATGGACGCTTGCCAGCATGCTACCCAGGACATGGGTAGCTATCAGAAGCTTGAATATGGCATATTGTTGCTTCAGATTGTTCTCTTCCGCCTGCTGTGCCTGTGCCACGTTCGGTAAGGCCTCCAACATCGCGACAACTACGTGTTGAGTCAAAGACATGAAGCCAACGGTCAGTAGGTTGCTCATGGTGATGACTGAGATGCCCAGCATGTACGGCAAGTGTGCTTGAACCTGCAACAAGTCCTCCTGTGGAGGCCAAAGATACCACAACCACCGCCGTTCAGCTTTCATGATCATCAAAGGCACCACGGGCGACAACACCTTGGATGTTCGACCCTCGAGTCAGCAGAGACGTTGCCCGGTGCGAACGAACAACGGGGTTCGTGTTGTTCGTGGTCGCCAAGTAGACAGTGGCACGGTTTCCCATGTTTGATGGGGATCTACTTTTCTCTATAGGTGTCTATGTAAACAGCCTGAGAGGATTCCCAAAATGAAATGCTCAAGAGATGGGGCGCCCCACTACTCTACACTCTTGCCCAGACCGAGACTGAGACTGGAAGAGTTACTTACATCGTTTTCATGAAAAAGCTTGGCGTCTCTTTCTGCATTCGAGCAGAAACAGGCGGAACACTCTGTTCCTTTCAGGCCACCGCCGGCAAGTTCCAACTGGCCAACGCTGGATGCGTCTGCAAGCCGGGGCCCAGTCCGTTGGCGAAGGTGCCAAAGCTCGCGGCCAACAATAAAAAGATGCCCAGCGTCACAAAGAGGCGCCTCAGCGAGCAATCATCGTGGTCTGGGCGACAGCGCGACGATCGCGGACCCGCATGTACAAACACAGGGCGAATGGGGACTGACGCGATGAACAGTCGCAGATGGGTCGGATATGGATTTGGTGGGTAAAGCTATGGTAATACATGGTCATGGTCATATGGCGCCTCTTCCCGAAAAAGGGAACCGCGAATGGACACCGTTTGGGCAGTGTTGCAGCCACAGTGTCGGTCGACAGCCAGATCGACTCTGACGTCCACATGACCACATGGAACCGATGGGATGCCCACATCTATTGACCACATGCCAAGCACCCCAGGGGTTGGGACTTAGTTGCATGGAGTGTTTGGGCATGGATTCATTGGGCCGTGGGCGTGGAGAACATGAGTTGGCAGAGAAGGGCCTTCATGGAATCGAAGGGAAACATATAGGGAAACTGCATCGAAACAGCGTTTGGTTCATGTCAAACCGAATCAACTGGTTCCGGGATATGAAGCAAGTACAGTACATCAGTAAAACCAACCATTCTTCAAAGATTTCTGTGCAGGATCTACATACTCCCCGGTGACATTGAGCTGAAGAAACCCCAAATAAGCGCGCTCGAAACTCCAAGCAACTCCCACTGTTGCTGGTCCAAGATGATGCAACGGGGGGTCCACTGACAAGTCTGACGCTCACTGGTCACAGCCAGAACCAGAACAAAGAACCACAAGGCGCACGGAAAAGCCCAGCAACCAACTTCCATGAACCTGCACAGCCGCCAAACATGTCTTCGAGCAAAGTTTCTACCTTGACCTTCAAAGGGGTGCTCAACGGAATCCACAAGTATAGTGTAGGATTGTCGATATTGGAGATCCCTTTGAGGATTCTGGTATGCTTTACAAACGGAGGGTAAACTTATTACGTGTTTTGGTGGTCTTGTAACGCTTGATGTTCTGAACACTTATCAAATGGTTTGTTTCCAAAACAAACACCAAAAACTTATCCCACAAGATTCCAGAGATCTTCATCTGATTCAGAACATGATCACCATCTCCACACACGGCATATATAACATGTATATACACGTTACACTTGCTTACCGCATTTACGACCCCAATCTATCTCTTCCAGTCCCATGATGAGATCCTTTTTGACTACCCCACCTCAACATGCCTGGACTGAGCGCGTCCGTGTGAATCGCAGAAGCCGCGTTCGATGTCTTCGTTGCTGGAACACGCATGGCGGACACAGCCCACCACATCGACAACACAAAGAGAAAGGTGCCACCTGAGTGAAAGCTGCGTGTAGCGAGCAGCGACCCACTCGAGACGACCCTCTCGACCCGTCTACCCAGCCAAGCACGAGGGCGTTTTCACGGGTCATGGGTCATGGGGGGGGTCTCGCCAAGTATACACCACCATATGAGGGCCCAGGGTCGCGTCTGGGAAAGTCTCTTGACGCTCTCGTGTCGGGTCTCGTGCCGGGTCCCGTCCCCGCGGCGAGTCCGAAACGGAAGCCGGCCACGGATCCCGGGTTCACCGGGACCAGAGACATGGACTCATGGAGTGATCATCGCCACCAATCCATATATCTTCCTATAAGGCAAAAGGATCAGAGCATTGTGTGGCAAAAACAAAGAGAAACAACGACGCGACCCCTTCTTCGTTAAACGAGACCCCTTCGCTACGCCGACAAAACGAAGGTTCACGGCCTGAGGGGAAGAAGCTTCACGCTTCGCCGGTTCGCTTCTTCTTCCGGGGCTTGGTGGACCCAACGGACACCGGAGCTTTCCCAGGCGCCCGCCGTGGCGTGCGATCGCACCCGGAGCGATCTCGGGTCGCTCGTGTGGAGCGAGGCGCTGAGGTGCTCTTTGAAGTGTGAGCGGAAGCGTAGCCGGTTCTCGTGGTTCTCGCGCAAGATCTCGCGCATCTCCGAGAATGGATTGGGTGCATGTTGCCAGCATTCCACGAGGCGACGTCGCAGGAACCCAAGAAGGTTCAAATGGCCTGATTCCCGCTCAGGAGTGGAAGAAAATTGACATCGTATTAGTCAGAAACATGGTGACATCGAAGAAGTTTGACAGCGCAGTGATCAAAACTGAAACCTGGTGAAGCCTGGAACATGGCAGGCCCTGTTCCAAGTGATGATCTCTCGAGATGCAAAGCATTGCGAATGATCTGAGACGGGTTTCGACCCTGAGAGAGGAAAAACATGTGACCTTCATAGCTGTGTACCCAGACCATCCAGGTATGGAATACATGCCGCCCCCATTGACCCCCAGGTCAACCACCCCGATGTAGGTACAATACGTCCACATAACCACCCATCTCAAGCCGAACCAGAAAGGATTGGGTCCCATGAGCCCCTCGAAAAAATGTGCATGCTACCAGTTGCTTGGTTTCAACCTATGCCCAACAACCAGCCATCCAACACCAAAACCAAGCTTCAAGCTTGACGTTTGAGTGCGAAGTCCTCGCCACAAATATCACACCGCAGGTTGCTGCCAGATGTTGGAAGATCCACGCCACCGGCAGACCTGCTTGTTTTTCCCGAACGGAACCGAACCAGGCGCGAGCCGCCTTCAAAAGCAAGCAGGTGAGATAATCAGATCATCTGTGAGAGATCCCTAACAATCCATGGGACTGGAATATTTGCCTACATTGGGATGATTTTAAGATGTTTTAAGGGTAAATGTTCCTAAAGGTTCATACATGCCTGGGTATGGTCGTGCCCAAACGGCATAGCCCTCACACCTTCCACGGTTCACCTGGTTTTACCTGGTTTTTTCAAATTTCCTGTCTGGATGGATTGACTTCAACTGGTCCTTTGCGGTTTTTCACCGTGTTTTAGTCAGAAATCCCCGGTCTGCCAGAAGCATAACTGACTCTCGAGCCGTTCCCCTTGTAAGAAACGGTTAACCTTGTTCCATATGTTCAGATTGAGTGGAGAAACCAATCCCCCAAGAAAGTTAAAAGGTCATAGATGGTATAAGGGTCTAAGAGTACACCTAAAATCAAACAGTAAAGGAGTGTCCAGGTTCAGTTGAACGGGTGTGTTTTGACCCGACCGAACGAGAAACCGCCCCAGTACGTTGATCCCTGGTCACGCCCCGGACTGCCGGTCACCCTGCGTTCATGTCTCGTGGAAGTTTTTGCGTCAAATTCCTGGGCCACTCGGGGAGGCAAATCTTGTGCGCAATGTATGTTACGCTACGACGTTCATTGCGTAATGACGCCGCGTCTTGTATGTGTGTTCTGGATGATGAATGCGTGAGGTGAAGGAGGCACGGGGGGGGTGATGTGCTTCTAAGACGATGCCACAAGCACAGGGAGGTTGGACGGGCAGGGGGGTGGGGTTGCACCGGGGTTGCACATGGTGGAAGACTGGCGTTTGACGAGACTAAGGTCATTACATGCCTGACAGAAAAGCATGTGGCGAGGTTTTCCGAAACTTCCAGACGGACCGGTCGATGATTCCTTTCCACATGACCATCGGTGTTTTACGAAACAACGCCCTGGTGCTGTGCCACCTGCAAGGTGAAATATACATGTAGTGTACTTCACAAATATATGGCGGTATCTACATGACAAATCTCTCTATATATAATTATATATAGATGTATTAGATTGTATTAGCATGTATTGGCTATAAGTATCTATAAGTTATCCAGTCATATGTTGTAATGTGATATGACACGTTCCATGTCGTTCTTCTGCTGCCTGTGCTTCCACCACTCCGCCAAGCACTCTGCATGCACCCAGCGCATGGAACCCTCACAGGCACAAGGCTGGATCAAATCACCTCCCTCTTCCAGGCAAATCCTTGGATGTGCTTCGAAATCGGAAGCCTGGAAAGAGAAAAAGACACACATATTATTCCCCAGGTGTTTGGGGGATTAGAACCATATAAACAAATAAAGAAATCACCCGGATCAGTCAGCCAAACCAGGACTCCGGCATTGCCCAAGTTCCATGGCGGCTCGACCCGGGCCCGGCCCGGTTTCATCGGAGATCTGTTGAGCACTCGTATCGGCGTAGGGCGTCAAGGGTTGGGAGGATCTGTTGGGAGGCTCAGTCAAGGGCTTTTCCTCTGAAATCGTTTTAGAAAGGTTTCTTGGAAGCGTCCCAACCGGAAACAAAGTCTGGTTGGGACGTTTATCTCTGACTTTCTTGAGATCCTTTTCATAGGAAGTGGATTTGTCAGTGGCTCAAAAACTGGGGAGTTCCATCAGTACTTGTTTCTGCTTACAAACTGGGTGACCACCCAACTGACCAGCTCTTGGATCGATCAGTTTTCCGTCACAACGTCACTCGACTGGGCCGAGGAAACGATCGGGCGGGCGACGCGGGCGACGCGGGACGCGGGCGTTTCGTTGGACGATGCCTTTGGCGATGTGTCGGGGAGGCGATGTTCGGGCGATGACCGCATCATAGGGCCCTGCCAAGAGAGGTTAAGTGACCTTATAGAACCCTACTGGCGAGTACCTATGGGATAGTCTATAGGGTCCTTCAACCTCTGTTGGTGACTAAGAAGGTCCCTGGCTACTTGACTACTGTCCTCACGTCTCGCGTCTGAACCAGACAGAGTCTTCGCCCAGTTCCGCACCTGAGCATCCTTCAAGTGCCGCCAATCCACCTGCGCGATGCTTTCAGCGCGTCACGGTGGCGGAGCATCGATGAGAGGCGCCGCATGGCGCCGCCCCTGCAGGTGCAAGTACCCCTCTGTATAATCAGGTATAACTATATAGGCCACGTCGAAGAGCGTCCCAACTTCGTCATTCCAAGAAGCTTGCGATCCCTGTCAACATAGCAAGATTTCGACCCCAGACCAAACCAATGGGGCTGCAAGAGTGACTTACATTGGTTCAGAAGTGACTTACCTCCCAAGTCCGACGAGTCGGCGGTGTGAGGACGAGGGGGGACGGGGCAGGTGGTCCCGGGACGGGTGTCCATCCGCGTGGGCATCTGGGCATCTGTTCCAGTTGGCCAAAGACCTGGTTAGGGTTGATCTTGAGGATCCCAACCACATACATCGGTGCCAAAAACCCGGAACCTGTGGCTCACAACTTCTGCTAGGTTTGAGGGATGATGTTCGGCAGAACTTCTGCAGGACCATCCACAGCTCCAGTCTATGCTCGCTTCCCAGCCCGCCGATCTGGGAGGCCGGTTCCGCGCCGTGGCCAAGGGCCCGCGCTCCGTTTCCGGCCCGGTGGTTTCCTGATTTCCGGTCGCGGTGCGGCCTTGTCAGGGAGCGCCAGCTTCAAGTTGCTATGATCTTCCTCCTGTTTTTCCAGGAGAGGACTTCCACGGCGTTGTGAAGAAAACAAACAGGATGGGAGTTCTTCGTGGCCCTGGTTTTTTGAGACTTCTCAGGGTAAACAATTGAGAGGTTCATGATGCATCCGCCGTCTGCTGAAGGATCATTTCTCCACTTTGTATGTGAGTGATGCACAAGTTCTTTGGCTGTTCGTACGCCGGTCAAGGGAACAAGCACCCAAAGCTCCTTCCGTGCCATTCTAAGTCCTGACACTCCAACCACCCCTGGCCTTTTCTCTGTAAACCTACCAATCCCATCTGTTTGGTGTCATTCTCAAGGAACCAGCAACAACCAATCCGATCCCTTTCATGGAGTAGAACAAGAACTCCCTTGATCCTCGTCCCACCCTTTTCCGCGCTTCGCGAACACATCCCGGCAGGTCACCGGTCACGGGTACGGCCCTGGTGGGCCACCCCAGTGGCGGGTACGGCCGGGCGACCGACCACGCCTTATCCAGCGTGGGTTTACTCGATGGTCATCCCGAAGCAGCTTGTTTTGTTTTACTATCTCACACACCCGTTTGGCCTCCAGTCGTACCGAACCTGAGAAGGTGGGACTGGGGTGGGTGCCAGGAGGGTCTAAATACCTTCTGAGGAGGTACTTGGAGGTGTAGGGACATACCAAAACCAGGGAATGGTCTTGGAAGTCGACTAGGAGACTGTAATATATCTGCCTATGTTGCTGTCGAAGCCAGAAAAGACAAAACACAAACATGTTGCTTTTCCAAGAAGGTGGCTTTATTATAACGTACTATATATAACATTATATAACAACTATATAGGGAAATCAACATTCTCCGATCCCGCTCAGGATGACTATGGAACCCAAAACCGGAAGAGGACATAAATCCAGGGCCCGCTGGGGGCGAGCAGGGCTGTGCAGCAGATGTTTCTTTTGGCCCTGCTCGGAGATCCTCACCCCCAAGCGAGCTGAAGCCATAGATGAAGAGATGAAGGAAGAAACATTGGTTAAAAACATCTTCCATCATGTTCCTCGAAAACAACCTATCAAGAATTGGTCGTTGCACGGGGGGATCCATCAGCACTACCCCTTGACCACTACCCCCAGTACAATCGACTGGGGCGTGGCGTGGCACAAGGCTGGACAACTGCACCCACCACTCGAGTCGGGGGCAAGTGGCAAGCTTGGGTTTGCTGTCCAGGAACATAGAAAAAAGTCTATAAAACATATTCACCAGGTCAGGGGATTTAAACATAACCCAAACACTCCATGGGTGCCATATATGCCGCCCCAGACAGACCCCCCTGGCACCACCCCTGGCCGTTTCTCGGCAGTCCTATGGCAGTCCCATGGAGCGTCTGGGATAAGAAAAATAAGAAATCACCTGATCCGCAAAACCCGGTATAAAGTAAGATGTGGCAGTGACTCCACGAGGAGACACGTGATAGATACTCCTAGATTCCACGAGTTGAGAACCCCACTGGTGAACTCCCATCTTCCCACCCTGCGCAAAAAGAACAAAGGTCCTTGGCTGCAAAGGACAAGCCCTTGCCACGTTCCTGGCAGGCTCAGGTGGATATCACTTGGTTAGAGGTCCACTAGAGGGATAGTTTTGCATACCCGGAGTCTCCAAAATATCCTATAGTTATAGAAAATTGAACATGACCCGTTAAACAATGTGTATATAATACCTAATATAAATTAATTGATTAAATAGTAAAGAAGCACTTGCACCCAGAGCTTCTGAGGTATTTGGAGGCTCTGAGTCATATAGAATACACTTCGCTCCCGCGAAAATCGGGATGGAAGTGGAGTTGTGTGGAGTTCACCCTGTTTGGTCTTCAGAAGATGGCCTCAAAGAGGGGGCTACCGCCTCAAGTTCACCGGTTCCAGGGAGTGGAGCACCCATGGCCTGATCCTATGGATGAAGGTCAACTAAGAAGGTCCAATTGGTGATTCGGCAAGAGAGGTGAGGTGCAGAATCATCGTTGGTTTGATCTTCCGGAAGAGATTCATATGGTTCTTGTGTCTGCGGTTGTTGATTGACATACTGATGGACGTTCATGTACTGATGGAATCCTAAACTCATCCGACATGTCTCTAGACAACCTTGCTTGTTGGATGGTTGGTAATTGGTACTCCAAAACAATGGTCACTCAGGTTCTAGGCAGATAGCATGCATTGTGAAGAACATGTGTAAGATCAAACAAAAACCCAGCTCGGCTAGAATCGGCCCCCCATGGTGGGGGTCGCACCTTTTCCACCCGATGGGTCCAGCACCGAAGGGAACCCCCTTTCCCATTGAACGGCTCGGATTCTTCAGGAGGTTGCACAACAAGCGAGGACATGCACACTGCACGCTCGGAGAATGATGAGGCGCAAGCTTCAAACGAACAAGACCGGTCGGTGGGCGAGATCTTGGATCACGCTTTTCTCGCGGGATCCGGTGTCTCCGTGTGGACAACTTCAAGGCGAATGCAAGTGAGGTCACACTCTGAAGTCTTTGCTTTGAGCTTGTGCTCAACACGCTCTTGGAGCACATTGGAGAGCAAATCTGGGATCTCTCTTCGGTCTTGCCTGCTGTTTCCTTTTGCATCCTTTTGCCACAAATGAACTGAGGCTCGGCCCAGAGTTCCACAGCAACTTTTCCAAACCACATCGCCCCGACGTGTGTCGCTGCATTTCTCAGCTCGCTGCTTTCGTCAGCTTCTGTCCCTTCAAACCCCCCGGTCGTCCGCCTGCGAGGGCTTGTAGCCGTGCAGCGCCTCTCGCTCCTCGTCGCGGAAGTCGGCGAACTTGTTCACGGCGGCGCGCCAACGCGCGGCGGACCTGTTCAACGGCGGTGCTGGATGGTGCAGGTGGTCCGGAGGGGAGGGTGCGGATGGTCCTGGAGGCTTGGATCCGGTGGGCCCACGGGGATTCCCAGCGAACTAGAGTGGAAACTGGACACTGGAGCTTTTCTCGTGGGTTTGCAGCTTGGTGAAGGGCTGGCAGCAATGCTCTAGCCAGTCTAGAAGCAGCTGAAAGATCAAGGGGATCTTGCAAGCGAAAACTCACAAAGATACTCAGCAGGAGAATGGCAGGTGGTGCCTACCACAAAACTATAAGACTGATCACCGATCATCCAGAAAATCATCAGGGACCATCTAAAGCTGGAACTACAAAAATCCCACCCAAGAAGAATCCTCGAAAAAAAATAATAACAAGAAGAACACCACCCCCCAAGGCCACCGCGGCCTATTGTTCTGTTGGATCACCTCCGCTTTCCGCTGCTCAAAGAGGGCCTGTCGTTCCAAATACTCCTGCGCGAGACAGTGGTCAAGTCGCCACTCGCAGGGCTGACAAGACCCTCTCAGGGAGCGATCGTGAAGGAAGCATGTCACTGGCATTGACAACATCCTTTGCACTGTGGACTGTTTTCGTCCGGACTGCCAATCAGACCTAGACTTATCACCACCCAAAAGCCACCGCAGGTATTGTAAGGACCTTGGATCTCTTCCTCGCTCGGAGTTGGATCCCACTCGGCTCCTGGGAGTCATAGCTGCGCCCGTGGAGTTGCAGGAAGTCCTCGAAGGACAAGGACGAGCTGCCTGCGACGGCCCAGGACTAGAAGAGCGAACATGCAGGGGGAGGCAGGACCCAAGTACGTACCAGGAACCTCCCGTGCGTCCGGTGGCTTGGAAGGACCATCCCTTGATTTCACCTGCTTTACGAGGCTATACAGACACCTCAAAGGGAAGGTGCTGGTCGTTGGTTCGAAAACCTCTGCAGCGTCGTCCCTTGCAGCTTTGTCCCGGTCTTCAGTGTGGGCTCGTCCGGTGGATCCCAGGGTTTGCCCCCACTGAGCAGCTCTGTTCATGGGGTTCGGAGAGTGAAAAGCTCAGATGAATCTTCAGGGTGTTGGACATGTGCAGTGCAGGTGGGTCTGGCCATGCCGCTCAAGACCAGGAGAGTTTGGTTCAATAAAAATTAAGGAGAGAAAGAGCAACAGGGCCCAATGCATGCCGAATGCATGCCTGCGTGATGCTCCAACATGGGCACCCTCTGATGAAAGTTTACTGTTGACAGGCCAAACAACCACATTCCAAGTAATAGTGCCCTACTAGGTCACCAGGGTCATTTTCATGCGGCAAAAGCATTTATACAGATACATATATGATTTGCTTACTAGAAGGGAGTTTACCCATGGAAAACATCACTCACCTGAAGCACAACGGCCTTCCCTTCCCTTCCAAGACCGTTCCCCTCGCGTGAGGCCGCCTTCGCCACTGTGAACCTGCGCAGGTGCAAGGGGTGTGTCTGGAGGTCCCTTAGTGGTGTAGCGGACCAATGGAGCGGTCCCTTTGAAGGTGCTGGTACAATAAAGCTACAATACAGTTACAAGTTATATTACTAATATGTCTAACATGTTCAAAAAAATGGTAGTTTAGCATTTCGCATGCAGCACCTATAGAATTTGCACCAAACTAGGGTTTAACATGGTTTAACATGTGTCACCCGGTGTCGGGTGTCCGCCACGGCGAAGTTCCTTCGTCGATGCACCTTGTAACCAGTGGCGCCCAACAGCACCACGGCGGCCGCCTCAGGCGGTTTGGGCAAGCACCGCAGAGTGGAGGCCATGTGTCGTTTTGGGGGAGTCCGGTCGCTGTGGCCGGTGGTTTTCGCCACCGACTTCCAGGTCTGAGAGGTGATGCTTTTCGTGGGGGGGGTCTCGAGTTTGGAGCCCAAATCAATCTGCCAGGAAAGGATGGTGAAGGGGAAGATGTTCAAGAGAGGTTGAGAGACCAGAACTAGGACCCAGTATAGTGGTACAAGACTGGGAGCCATACCCAGACTGGATGATCCTGGTGGGTGACCCAAGTTTGGGAATTTCCTCGAGTTCGGTGCCAAACATAGTCGAACTGGACTTCTAGGTAGGGTTTGGGCTCCGGGAATTCTACCCCCAAGATGAAAAAGTTGCTGAATCTCTCAAAGTGCGAACTGCCACTACTTCGATATAGCTGTTATCCGGACATCCAACGGATCAGGTGAGTCACTACCAAGAGAACCAGAAACCTATGAAATTGTAGGGCCAAGGAAAAAAGCCGGGTTCTTGATTGAAGAACCGGGTTCTTCGATTCGGACCCGACTTTTGGTTTTGACATGTTTTCAATATTTTCACATGTTCATACAACCACATATATAGTGCCATGCACACATGATCTCAAACAAAAGTTCATCCCAAATCACCCACCGCAACCTCCAAACGTCACACCTTTTTGTACACGCGGGTTTTCGCTCTAACCCTTCAAGAATCCTGCGGCGCACCAATGCTTGAATCCCGCTTGAAGGGATCTTTCCAGCACTCGTTTGATTACCTGTTGTGGGGCAACTCTTCTGGCCAGTCGACTCTTCTTTCCGATGAAGTCTTCGCTGACTTGTACTGCGAATGTCAGCGGGTTCATGTGCCACTCGCCTGCTGTGGCACACTCAAGCCATATGTGGTGGCATATATGCGCCTTGGGCATGACAGCCCACAATGCTTGCCCATTGTCGTAGGCGTGTCGAGCCAACTTGCCATACAACTCCATGAATCGGAGCCCTAGCTGTCCAATACGCCTTGCTTCATGGCCAGGAAGCCACAAGTCCTGAGTGTAGAGCGCTTCGAAAGCAGAATTCATGCAGGAAGTAGCTTCTGCACACATCAACAGCATAGGATCAGCTCGCAAATCGCTCCTGGCCAGCCACCAAGCGCAAAACTTCATTAGAAGAGTTGTTACGTGTCCTTTGCTCCACATCCCGTTGGGGTACTCGCTCCTGCTTCCCCATGAAATGGTATCTTTTGATACGCTGCAAATGTACGATGTTTCGTGCGCTTCATCGCAAAACTGTCGGAACAAATCACTAAGTTCATCGAATCTGTTGTCAATGTTGCTTGCACTCATGTGGTCTGATATGACGGCCAACAAAGAAGCGCAGTACGACTTCCCAAGCCCAAGATGATAGCCATGCCACAAGTCGAATGTGAAAAACGAAGCTGGCCTATCTGGCTCGTGAGGAATGTCCAACAAAATGGGCCTCTTCACGAATGGGCGGTCTGCAGGCTGAAACATAGTTCGCAACCACCCAGGGTTGGATGAAAAATCTTCAAACGGTATATCCAATTGCCCTGCCCTGCAGTAGTGGCATATTCCTCTCGGAACTGAACTTTGTCCTCGTGGTCTTTTCTCGACACTTGCGAAAGTTCGAGATAGATGGCCTGATTTCCCCAACCAGACCCAGTCTCCTGTGTTTTGTAAGACTGCCATGTGAAACCTCTGTCCGGTATTGCTTACAACACCCTGGCGCAGCATCGACGCCGAGTCATGAGCCAGACACGCCAAGATCTCGTCGAATGCTTTCTCGTCCTGGACAAGCTTCGGTAAAGCCGCTGAGATCATTCTGTGCACGTGGCTGCTTTCTGAGTAATTTAAACGCATCTGCAAAAAGGGTCGGTGTTTGCAGGCTGCGTTAGAAGCCAAAGTGCCGAATCCAATGCAGCTACTGTAAGCGCACACTAAGAAGGGGCCGCGCTTCCTTCCCCTTCCCTCATCCCCGTGAAGGATGATGGGAAGTGTATGGGAGAGGTCAATGCTGTGCTCAGAAACTTCATTCCAAATTTGGTGGTTTGGCTTCCAAATCTTAAATCTCCTCCAGAACTCCAAGAGTATCTTCCGTTCTCTTCTGGCATCTGGCTGATGGAGCCCAAGCATCACATGCCATACATTCGAGTTCACAAGAAACTCTGCCCATGAAGACAAGTGAATAACGTTGAAGTCTCCAAAATATCTGACTCCGGGCGTCTTTTGCAAAAAGGAAATCTTCACTGGAAGCATCAAGTGAAAGCGTCTCACAAGTGTGTTCATATCACGTTCACTGTGATGCTCAGAGCATTTGCTTAGCTCAATGATGCCCTTACCTTTTCTGGCGGCCTTCTCACCAATATCCTCTACCACACCTTTGGCAACTCTGATGGCAGCACGGCACGAAGTGGCCTCAGCGCGCGTTGATTTAAAGAAACGGAAGTCTCGGTCTGGGGTGTTCATGTGGAGAATCTGGAGACTCTGGGGACTGCTATATGCACACGCAGAAGTTGCAATGCACACATGCTCAGTGCAAGATGTCCCTCACACGCTCTTTCTAATTTCCCCGCGGTTGAAATCTTTCAACTGAATTAAGCAAAATGGCACATGAAAATGTGACACCTGGTGACTGATCCTGCTCCAGCACCAAAGCTGTACATCCCGAATTCAAACACAAACACCATGGTAGCAGTTGGCTTTAAATGCAGTTTTCAAATTATGTAGGTTTGTATTTGAAAGACCTATAGACGACATAGCACATAAAAAGGCCGGTCAGGCTCGTGTTCACGGTGTCTCCGCCAAGCCGACTGTTCTTGCATCCCTGGGTGCCTTGGACGCGAATGTCAGCATTGGCATTCCCGCAGGCATATGAGCTGGGCATTCGGATCAAAACAACATAAACCAATCAATGCAGCACTGAAGTATTGAGCAAACGAACCACACGCAACAGGCAATGACTTGCAAACCAAGATGCCCCGGTAATGTTGAATAAGTGCTGCTTCTAACATTGCGGGGCCCCATGGCTCATCAGTAATGTAGAGGACGATCATATTGGAATACTTTTCTACGGACTTGGCATATCCATAAAGGTCGTTGGACCATCTCCAAGCGGGGTTGTGGGTGAACCCCACTTTGAAGATAGCTGGGGCATGGGTATCTAGCAAATCATCCATGATCTTCAGACTGTGCTGAAGTACTTTCCCAGCCGTAGCATGCGCAGCTGGCAGCTGGAACTTGATGCAGTCCAGGGCTGAGACTTCTTGGACGATCCTTTGCAAGGATGGGCTGGATTGCAAAGGCATTGGTAAACCAATGGCCCACTTAGGTGGTGTGAACAACGGTTCCTTGGAAACCCGTTTGGTACCCAAGGCATCGCTCCAAGGAAAAGGGCAAAGAGATTCCTCAGTTGTAAGCAACAGAAGTATAGTGCCAAAAAACACACCGATATAGTTCACAACTCGGTCACATGTATACCTGTTCCCGTATCAAAGATGCGGCCAAAAGTCAGACCGGTGACAAGAAAGCAAATCAACTAACTCCTCTTCAATCGACTCATCATCCATGGCTCCGCTTTTTGGAAATGAGGGAAGCCTTTGCAAAAAATGCACTTTGAAACATGTTCGTATATAATGTCCATCTATATACCTGCACATTGAAAGCCATATATGCTCCCTGCTTGCCACAACTCCCTGTAACAGGTTGCTTTTGAGAACCATGCAGTTTGGGTTCGGTACACTCATAGGCCCATTGGCTGCATCCCATGCAGAAGTTGAAAAAAACCATCGGTGAAAAAGAGTTTGAATATATATACTACCGGCCATCACCTGAGGATGGCGCTCCTTCACCGATGTCACCGCTGATGATCTTCAAAGTTTTGCCAGAACCTGGCTCGGTGGCTCGGAGACAGGGTCATGTCTCAGGCAGGGGTTGTATGGAAGGGTGGAGTTCTATCTCAAATCAGGGTGTTGCTGACAAATCTGACAAGGTGTCACCCGCATGCACGCGCTCTCGATTTTCCACAAGCTTGTCGTTCAGAGATATCGTTTCCCCGAAGCATTGCCAACAAGTGCGGTGCTGTCACGCGTGTCCACCACCCCAGGCCCTATATATAGGAAAGCTGTCGTCAACTCATCAAAAAGCGACCACGACCACACTGAAGTGCAAAATAATGCCAAATGTATATACGCAACATATTTTTTCCTACAACGATCTGGGAGAACCCACACGCGTGTATAGACCTGAGAGACCTCACTTGGGCCTCGAACCTGTTGGCACTAGCCTGTTTAGTCCAGGCTTCCCAGTAATTAGAAAAGAAATTACAGATCAAAAAAACCGCGGTTGATCTGTCCCGTCGAGGAGAAGCCCCAAGATTACTTAGACTTCCTAGGTCTCTTTTTGTTTGAGGCCTCACTAGCAGCATTTGCTTCAGAAGAAGGCTTTCCTGACCTCTTCTTAGAACCCTTGGAATCAGCACTGCGAGCATTGCCCTTCGTAGCAGGCGTAGCATCGTCCTTCTTCTCGTACCTCTTAGCATTCCTGCGCTGCACACAAGTGCGACGCATGCTGAGGAACACGCATCCAGTCCTTGTCTTCGTCTCCAGGGCGCAGGCATCAGCACACCTGAGAGAGATATCAGATAAGGGCATGTAAGGGCGATGTGGGTGGTGTATTTGCAAGATCGATGAGAGAGAATCAACTTGACTCTGCATAATTTATTTGCTTCATGATGTGAGGACCGGGCGTATAGGTGGCAGTATTCATGGCAGCAGTAGCATCTGCGACAAACCTAATTCCAAGATAGAACGTAAAAAGGGCAATCACGTTGTTTGAAGATATGCTGACAACAGTTGAAAGGCTCCTGAATCCCTTGACCATCCATGCGACGTGCGCATGATGTTACCAGGTCATGACAAGAAACGTTCCCCCAAATTTGTTGATCTCACCTTTAGCCATGACCTTGTTGCATTCGTCGTACTGATT